CCTGCAGTGTTTCCCCTTAAATGTCTTAAAAGTATCACAAATAAAAAATATTTCATGCAGGATAACTGGCCCCTCTGGGTGTTATATCATTACGTATCATACTGGATTGTATAAGCTATAAGTATTACTACTGTAGCTGGTTGAGACGGAGCTCATTTAAAATATTAAACTACACATTTAAACTGTTAAACCACACACCGATAGACAATCTAAAATTGCATCATATTTCATTTGAATTGGAAAAATAACTACAGATGACACACAGTGAAGTAAAAGTAGTCTGGTAGACAGTATAAAGTCAAATTAAATGGAAACTCCAAGTACTAAGCACATACATTTGTACTTAAGTACAGTACTTGAGTTGCTTTCCACTACTGCATACCGGCACACAAACTGTGACTAAAGGTCTACAGCATTTTGAAGATGTGAAAGTCAAATGTCAGGTTTTAATGTGCGCTAAACGTGAATAATCAGATTGATAACTTGACAGCACCGGGGGGGGGTTGCTGCAGTTGAACCTGTGCAAAAGTAGGAAATTGACTCACAACTGCGAATCTCAGAAGTACACAGAGAGCACGCGTTCTCTTTGTGCTCGGCTTTTCCCGGAAAACTTAATTGCTGGCATGAAGCACTTGAGGGAATTCTACGCCGTGCTTGTTAGGTGTTTGTGTGCGACGCAACCCCACGCGTTCTATTTATAAACTGACACCCTCTTACCCCCTCTCTCTCCCCCTCTCTCAGAGATAATGAACAATAAGTGTCGCTGCTGCACCTCAGACGCACGCCAACATCAAGCGGAATGTCAGATGGCTGGGAGAGCAGGAGCGATTGACAGCAGCCTGGGCCTCCACGAGGCATGCGAGATCACTGAGAGCGAGTTCTGAATGTTCTTTTCAAACTTTCTCCACGTGCCGGAGGGGGGAGAGCAGGAGTGACGGGGAAACGCTTGGGCGAGACTCTCCGAATGCCCGCGTTTAGAAAAAGGGCGGTTGATACTGTGTTGAGTGTACTGTACAGTGTTACAGGTGACCTGGGTTATGTGGATTACAGGAGGCCCGGAAGGGGAAGATGCTACAGGTGGATAGGGTAAAAAAACATTAATAATAACTAATAGATATCATCATGAAACTTCCCCAATTGATTACTTACATTCAGACAATCATTTTTTTGTATTACAAAATGTCTGTTAAAATATGCAAATTAGGCATTTTTTTTTCAATATGTGCTAATTTGCATAGGTTTCCAGAACATAAATCTGAACGTTGGATAAAGCCACTTTCAAAATTGTTTCACTTTGTTGACAATGTGGGGATTTTGGATATCTCTTTGTATCACTCCGTATCACAGCCTTTAAGCAAATAGATTTTCTCCATGTCTTTAGGAATAAAATGTTGTATACATCAGGCTATGAATGATATATGAACAAACTGTAATAACATTCAGAATAGCGATAGGAATGAAACTGGAAGGTTTGGTATATGTAAAGGCTGATGATGTGGAGATTTCTGCCACAGAGTCTGAGGGAAAACTAATTTTGAGAAAATGGCCTTTAAAGACATGTTTTGTAAAATTACATTAATTTAGAAGACACTACAGGTGAATAAAAGTAACTAATAGATTTCATCATGAAACTTCCCCAATTGATTACTGACATTAAGACCATTTTTTTTTGTTTTCTGTTCTGTGTAAATTTGCAAATGCGGCATTATATAATACTTACTTTTGATGAAATTAGGAGAATCAGACACAAATCTACAAAGTAGTAAAATAAACACTTAAATGTGTAGTGTGGATGATTTCTTTCCACTAGTCTGACAGAAGACGTGTTGTGGAAGCAAAATAGCCCAAAATCTCAAAATTGATCAGTGCATGAAAAACAATGTTTTATGAAAGATTAGAATGAAACAGTATGTCATACATACATACATATATATATATATATATATATATATATATATATATATATATATATATATTTAGTGTAACCACAAACAATGGCAACAAATGCTGGTACATAGATGTTTTTAAGAACATTTTGCCCCAGGTAGGAACTAAACCTTTAACCCATCAACAAGTGCATCCATTCGGTGTGATGGTTTATGTGGCTGCTAACCAGCAGATGGTACTATGTCCCATCTCTCTGTGATCCAGCGTCTCACATAGAAAAAGCAGAAGGTACTGATTCGTCACTAGTGCGGGACCCTGAACGATCTGTGTTTCCCCAAAAGACTTTGATTCAGTTCAACAAGTCGCTGCTTCTGAGTCGGATTGAGTGTGGCAAAAATAATACTGCAGCGTGGACTGTGACTGAGAGAAAGATGACTTCATAATCTGTCAAAGTAGATGTACCCAGGGAATATTTTTAAGATTTCTTAGCAGAACGTGGCATTGGTTGTCCTCGGAGGCAGCATTTAGCCACTATGCTGCCACTAAAGAATAAATATGTTGGAAATGCTTTCAAATATAGTCCTCTGGTAGAAGAGCAGAGCCACTAGATGGGCACAATGCCACTATGAGCACCTGCTCTTGAACCTACAAGGCAAAGTTATGCATTAATTCATACACTCCATTAACATGTGATGTCCGAAGGAGACTGATTCTCCCCTGTTCCTCGCAGTTTCATCAGTTTTATCGTAGCTTAAATGTCTTGACTTAAAATTAAGTCAAATCTATATTGATTTGATTTTCACAGTTTAGGAAGAGTGTGTGTGTGTGTGTGTGTGTATGTATGTGTGTGTGCGTGTGTGTGTGTTCGGGGG